GGGGCGGGTTAAGGGGTGGGGGCGAGGCAAGGGTGCGGGCTGCGAGGGCTGGGCACAGCTAACGGGGGGAGGGATTTGGGAAACTGAAGGCAGGCTGGAGGCGGAGGGAGGAGAGTCTGGGGAGCCGGCCCCGCACTTGCCCACAGCTCACCTGTGCCAATCTGCGCCTTGAACCGATCCTGCAGCCGGGTGACCAGCGCGGACAGGATGTCCATGCCCAGAAGAGCCACCTGCAAGGAATGGGAAACACCGGGACCCCGTCAGTGGCCGGCCTCCGGCCCTGGGCCCTCGCCCGCAGCTCTCGGGACGCCCCCACATTTCTGGCCCAGGCGCTGTCCCGGAGCCCAGAGAATTAAACTGGTTATCAAGCGGAGGGCTGCTCTTACACAAAGAGAGCCCTAGACAGTTTTAAAAGGAACTGGCCGGTGACGCAAAATGAAATAAAAAGCCACCAAGGCCAGAACACATCCTGGGAGCGAGCCGCGGGGTGTGTAAGAATAAGGCGCAGCCCCGCCCCCTGCAGGCCCCGCCCCGGCGGGAAGAGCATATGCAAATTAGCTCGCTGCCGGCGCGTGGCCTTCTGGGTAAAACCCAGTTGCCTCTTCGCTCCCGCAGACGCCTCAGAACACAAGGATCGGAGGGTCGCGCCTGGAGCCGCAGTGAGTTTCAGTGCCCCAGCCAGCGGGCGGCCGGGCCGGGCCTGCACGGTAGTCACCACAACCCCACCAGGTGTGGGCCGGCCCCGCCAGCGGCCCCGTGCAAGCCACGCGCAACCATCCTTTTCTTGGGGTTGCGCTACTGTCCAATGAACGACTAGTGAGGGCAGTACTGCTAACGCCTGACAACACACGCGCATCGGGCGGGCTCTGCCTCGCCTGGGTGCAATTTTTGGAAACCTACAAACCCACTTCCCACGACTACCGAGTTCCAAAGGAATTGCAGCTTCGCCCACTCAGCGCTCCCGCGGCCTCGGGGCCTGTGCTGCATTAATACTCGCGTCTGTGCGGACCCCTCCACCCCCACCCCCCGCGTGTCGCTTTGACCACTTCAGCGCTCAGCCTGACTTGAGTCTGTCTTGGTTTTGCTTTAATTCATCTTGGTCACTATATTCCACAAGTTTAAATCTTAGTTTTACAGCTGAGCAGTACTCCATTGTGTAAATGCACTACAGCTTTTTTTAATCCACTCAAGCACACTTGGGCTACTCCCATATATTGGCTATTGTAAACAACACTGCAATGAACATAGGGGTGCATATATTTTTTTGAATTAGTATTTCAGGTTTCTTAGGATAAATTCCCAGAAGTAGAATTGCTGGTGGGCATCTCAAATTTTAGTCTCTCACAGTTCTACTTTCTTACACTTACTCAACCTGGTTTGTAGGCTGCATGTACACTTCAAAATATGAGAATAACTCACTTCAGAAATATGCCTTTGTACTTCAACATGACTTATTATTAGACTACTTAATCGTTTATGGAAAGATTCATCAGCCATAATAAAAATGATGGCAATACAAACCTGAAGTAGTCATACTCAGGCATATAACTTCAGTAAAGGCTTATCGTTTGTCAAACAAGCCCTATCCATTGTTTCTCTGCATCTTGGTGAACACATCTTTGAAATAGGTGTAACAACCTTAAGAGAGCACATAATCTTGTTAACTGGAATAGTTCCTGTAATCCAATCCCAGCCTTGCTTTCTCCCACCTCCATGTAATCTTATGTTCCCTCCTCAAGTCCAAATGCATAAAATAATTGCAGAACTGTTACTCCAGAGCATTTGATATCTTGCTCCTTGGCATATATCGTCAGTTATATGGTAATAAAAAAATCTCTATAGGTTGGAATATTTCTTATATTGACAAGAGTAAAAACAGTACTTCACACTCATATTGTATTCTATTGTTTTTAAGGCACTTTTGGGTGGATCTGAGTAATTTCACAATAACCTGAGATGTAGACTGTATTACCCTTATTTTGCAAATGAGGAAAATAAAGACCAAAAGGTAGAGACTTACCAAGTCAACAAGTTCAGACAGTGACCAAACTGAAAACAAAAGGAAGCCTCCTAAGTCAAGGCCATTTGCAGTACAGCAAAAACACAGTATCACAGAATCCTACGTGCATAGTCTTTCTCTTTCCTTTCTAGTGAGCTTGAGACCTTGAGCAAGCCACAATACTTCTCTGTTAGTACTACATAACATCTTAAGAGCATTCAGCTCTAAACTTTTCTGGTGCTCTGAGACAGAGTATAGAAACAGGTGCAAGGGATTTATAAATAAAGATCTGGGGTAGAATCCCAGCTATCACCCTGGCTGGCCAGCTGAGTTTCAAATACTTTATCAGTGAAACTGGAACAATAACACATTTACCTTAGGGAATACACATGAGGCTAAGAGTTTTAACAAAATGCCTGGAATATAGTAGGTACTCACTAAATGCCAGTTCCCTTCTTTATGAGAGTGCTACTTTAAAAAAAAAAAAAAAATGACTTACTGAGGGGAGAGAGCAACAATCAGGATGGGCATAAATCCAAAGTAAGGTCACCCCAAACCCCACTAAACCCTGTTAATATTTTGATGACTATCCCTCACGACATCTCTGTGCATGCAAACTGTACACAGGAATTTTGCATAAACAGGTTCACTATATATATATATATATACTGTTATATATACTGTTATATATACTGTTATATATACTGTTATATATACATACACTGTTTTTACACTCAATATGCAATGGAAATCTTCCCAATTCAATAAATACAGATGAATATCCCCATTTTCAGAGACTGTGATGTCCTGCTGAATCTAGGTACTTAATGACTGAACCAATCCTCCGAACCCCTACTGACATTCAGGTTTAGCAGGAATTTTTCATTATTTTAAACAATGCTGTGATGGGTACACACTTCCACACATGTGCTGTAATCTCTCGAGACAAATTCTGAAAAAGACAACTGCTGGGTCAGAAAGAATACACACTGTGTACCTTATCAGCACCATTTTTAACATAATGCACTATGGTGCCCTCTTGGATTACATGCTGCTCAGTTCTATACATTTTTTGGTTGTTTTAAAAGACTACACAGCAACCTCACTAATTAGCATTTCAAACTGCACTCATTTTCAATCCCAAGAAGCAGAACACAACACCAACATCAAAAAATGTGTGATACAGGCAGTGATTTTGAGTCATCACATGTGGGATGAGAGAATTATCAAGCAGCTCAGGGTGGATGTGGACCCAAAGTGGGCCTGCAGCAGGTCAGGGTGATCAGCAGTGGGGTGTTTCTTATCCAACATCCACCCAAACTTGGCCTTCAAAGTAGTCACCTGAGTCCTGGGTCACTCATCCCAATAATAATACTACTGGGCAGCCTACTTTTTAAATCCCTCTTCTGGCCCTGTCAGTGTGGCTTGGTTGAGCATCATCACATGCACCAAGAGGTCAGAGCACATGCCTGGGTAGTGGGTTGGATCCCCAACAGAGGCATGCAGGAGGCACCAGATCCATGTTTCTCTCTCTCTCCCCTCTCCCTTTCTCTCTCCCTCAAACCAATAAAAACATAAAAAAGAAAATTAAAGATATTAAAATAAAAAACAATAAATCCCTCTTCTGGAATGGCCTCCAGGGGCAGTTTGAGGCACAAAAGTCTGTTAAAATATAAATAGTTAATATTAGATTAACGAGACTAATGAAGTTATAGAGTTGTTACCCGTTGTGGCCCATATACAAGGATTTTACTTTAAGAAAAGAACTGAGGATCATCATACCATCAAACCACTTCATTTTACACATGAGCAGCAACAGGCCAAGCGAGGCTAGGAGGCAAGGTCTGAATACAGTGAGAGGCAGTTAGTAACCTTTGTTTAAAGATCTAGACCGAGCAACCTAAGTGTCCATTGACAGACAACTGCACGCACACACACACGCATGCACGCGCACACACACACATACATATATACATACACACACACAATGGAATGCTACTCAGCCATAAAAAAGAATGAAATCTTGCCATCTGCAATAACATGAATGGACCCAGAGGGTATTATGCTGAGTGAAACAAGTCAGAAAGACAAATACTATATGACTTCACTTATTTGTGGAACAAATGAAACAGAAACTCACAGATGCAGAGAACAAACTGATGGTTGACAGATGGGAGAGGAGTTGGGGGATGAGTGAAAAAGGTGAAGGGATGAAGAAGTACAAACTGCCAGTTATAAAAACAGTCACAAGGATGTAAAGTACAGCATAGAAAATACAGTCAATAATATAGTAATAACTATCTATGGTGTCAGATGGGTACTAGATTTATTGGGGTGATCACTTCATAAATTATATAAATGTCTAATCACTATGCTGTGCACCTAAAACTAATATAGTACTGTATGCCCACTGTAATAGAAAAAAAATTTTTGTTTAAATTTTTAAGAAAATGTTCAGGCCTCCTTTAAAACAAAAAAAAAAATAAGGTCTAGACCATCCCAATACAGCTTTGAGCAATGACCAACATGTGCCATATCTGCACTGTCCAATGCAATAGTCACAAGCCAAGTGTGGCAGCCAAGCAGCCAAAATGTGGCTAGTGTGAATGGGAACCAAACTTTAAACTGTGCCTAGTGTTACTGAATTTCACTTAACCACATGAGGTTCATGGCTCCCATGTTGGACAGCACAATTCTAGACCAATGGTGGTTGCAAACCCAAGCAGACAGAAAGGAAGCCAGCAGTATGAGGGGAGTAGAGGATTATGGACACCTGGATACCTCTCAAAGCTCTGTTCATTTGACACCATGTGAGAATGAAAGTGAGTTTATTGAATAAATTTTAAAGAACTGAGGAGCCCAAAGAAAACACATTGTGGGTTAAATCCAGCCAAAGACCCCTAAACTCTACCACCTCTTTCATCCCAATGCAACTCATAAACATGAGATCAGGCACCAAAACATGCACAGTTGTCCAAGGGATTAAACAAAGATCCAAGTTTCCCATATGGTCTTTCAAACTTCTCCTTAGATGCTTCCAAGCTGACCTACCCAGCCCTCTTTTTCCAGCACCTTGAGCCAGCCAGCAGATCTTACAGCTCTTCCACCTGCCAGAGTCTCCTAAGAGTCTCCCTACTCCCCTTCTCTAAGGCCCAGATCCCAGTCCTCTAACAGACCTTTCCAACTAGCCCAGTCTTCCAGGCTCAATTCCCCCTGGGTCCAAGGCCTATA